TGACACACTGTAAACCTGGAAACATACCAGCAAGGCCTGCCTTTGATTGTCCCTAGTGCCTTCTCTTAAATACACAGAAAAACAAAGACATGAGAAGAGGTACAGAAGTGAGAGCCCAGAGCAGGGGTTGTCAGTCAGGGCAGGGGTATGTGTACTCCTAGGAGTACTTGGAAAGGTTCTAGAGGGTACGCATGGGTAGATGGGGACAGAGTGCTGCCTCCCACCACCCTGCACCGCCACCTCCCGTGAGCAGGGCTGGAGGTGGGGGGGTGAGGGCAACAGCACCCCTCTGCAGGCCGCATAGGTACCATCCAGCCCGATGGGGGGGCGGGTCACATGCAGTGGCCGCCACCTCGCACCACATTCCCATAGCCAGTTGCATGTGCAGCTGTGCAGGCTGCTGATGGGTGGCACATGATTGGCTGGGTGCAAGGTCTGTGAGCAGCCCGCAGAGCCACATGTGTGACTGGCTATGGGAAAGTGGGGCTTGGCAGTGGCAGCATGGGGTGGTGGGTGGCGGCAGCGGCAGCTGCATGCAAGGCCCTTCGCCCCTCCCCTCCGCTCCACATCCAGCCATTGCCACCAAAAGGGGTATACTTCTTTAAAAAGGTTGAAAACCCCTGGTTTAGAGCATGCCTGGAGGTGCTGATAGACATGGTATGAAGATGGAGGGTTGTGCTCATGCTTCTCAGTTCTGGGACACCTGCTGCAGCAGTGTACATCAATTCTCAGAATATACCTTGAACCAGATTGTAACTAACTTGGGCTTAGGAGTGCAATTTAGAGGGAACACAAGCATCCACTGTCTCCTTTTTTGCTCCTTCACAGGGTCTAAGCCTAAGTAGTGCTCTTGGGAGCTACTGCCTAAATATGTGTGAATGAAGAGGCAAGGTAAGAAGACAAAAATTATGCATGTGCTGTCTCTTGTGAATTTAGTCTTAGCTTATTCACAAAAATACAAAGTTCTTTCATTTGTGTGATACCTTTCTCTTATCTGAAGTGCATAGGAAGTTAATTCTGTGAGCTAATGAAACTGTAGAATTCAATAAAGGCACAGTGAACAAATGTCACTTTAATGCATGAACAAAACATTCGATAAATTATTAAATCTCCATCGGCCATTTGGTGCTACTCATTATGAAAAACAAGATTATTATATGAGTTATGTCTCTTGCTTGGAAAGAAAACACTTGGGCTTTGACTGGATATTATTTTTTCAGAAATGCCCAGCTTTTTTAAAAGCAAGAATTCTTATGGGTGATATCTTTTATTGGACCAACTGTACAGTTTGTTTAGACATAGGCAAGGTTTCACATATCACAGTACCCTTCCAGAACTGCTTGATATCAGTATCAAATATGAGGTTAGAAAAGCAAACAGATTTTATAACAGTAACCCTTACAACTCAGAAGAGAAGGCTTCTTGCTTCTGGGCCCATTTAAGCTTTGCCACACTCCCTAGTCTCGTTTTTCTATCTCTCTAAGCAAAGTAAGGCCTTCTTACCACCCATTCTGAAGAACCAGACTACCCCACTTCTTTTCAAGTGGTTTCATGCTCTCTGCATTTGTCACAACTCTTGGTTATATTTCTCTTCACAGAGCCACTTTGACTTTTCCCCCACTATGTATGCAATCTGTTTGTTCTGCATTGGCTGTCTGTGCCTCTGGCATTTAGTTCCAATTGAACCATCCTACTTGCCTCCCTAATTCAAAGGGATTTCTGCAGCATGTAGGAGACTGTAGAACAAGTAATACTAGTTCAAACTGTATTTATAGCACACCAGCTATACCAGGGACAAGAAGGGATACTCATCCTAGCTCTGTCTGTTTTGATCTGTCCCTGTCCCACCTGCACGTGAGGTGGTGAAAAATCAGAGGAATAAAAAATGTATTTTGTTGGGTCCCTGGGTAATCCCTTTGCTGTTTTGGACAATTTTTCATGCTTGGCAACTGCATGAGTATCTCAGACCTACTTAGCTGCAGTGAAACCACTCAACTCAAAATGTAGCACTTCTGCCAGGTGTTTTAATCGTTTTATAAATTCATGGACAATATAGATTTGTTTCAAAGTCCATGGGTAAAGAAAACTGGCTTGCATACTCCACCCTGAAACAAAGGAATACCAAAACCTCTCCTGAACATCTTTAATAGGAATACTTCCCCATTCACAAGCACTCAATGAATAAAAAAGAGAAAATATTTCTGAAGGGAAGAAGGAAGAGTATAAGAGCATTAATTTGGCAGCATACAGTAACAACGAATCAGCCACACACAAATAGGAATTAAAGGAGTGGTGGGAGCGATCCTCAATGCACAAGCTAAGTCTATTCCATCTCAGAGGAAAGGCAGCAAGAGGGCACAGCAGCCCCCCTGGCTCTCCAGGGACCTAGCAGACCTCCTGAGGCTACAAAGGATGGAGGATGGGAGTCACCTCCAAGGAGGATTATTCTGCACTGGTCCAGTTCTGCAGGGAGCAAACCAGGAAAGCCAAGGCTGCAACTGAACTCCAATTAGCTTCGAGCATCAAGGACAATAAAAAGTCCTTTTCAGATATGTGGGGAGCCGGAGGAAAAGCAAGGGCAACATTGGACCCCTGCTGAACGAGATGGGGCAACTGACAACTGACACCCAGGAAAAAGCCAAACTATTAAATGGGTACTTTGCGTCGGTCTTTCATCAGTCCCATGGGACATCCATGCCCGCTACGGCACAGGGAGGTCCAGGTAATGGAGATCCCCTGCCCTCCATTAATGCTGACCTCATGAAAGGAACATATTGAGACGCTGGATACCTTCAAGTCAGCCGGCCCTGACAATCTACACCCAGGGTACTCAAGGAGCTGGC